TAATAGTCACACTATTTATATATAATAATAATAATAATAATAGGTGTTATACTAATATATATATATATATATATATATATATATATATATATTGTAAAGCTAAGGTGTTGACAAACTCAGTGCATATATTGCTGAATATAATCTCTGTGACGTTGAAACAGAGAATTTTTTACAACTAAAATGTTCATAAGCATTTTGCAGCTTTTGTGTGTTTTTGTTTTTTTACCAAATAATCATTGCTAGTCCAATATTTAAAGGAGGTGATAAACATTGCCAAGGCAATTTTTGGCCAGTTTGTCTTACATCAGTAGTTGGAAAGCTTTTGGAGAATGTGATTAAAGATGCATTGTAGAGTCACTTAAAGCAGTTTGATATAGTGTCAAAGAGCTAGCATGGTTTCACTAAGGGAAAGTCTTGTTTAACAAATCTTCTGACATTCTTTGAGGATGCTACTGCAAGATTTGATGAAGGAAATGCTGTGGATTTGGCTTACCTTGATTTTCAGAATATATTTGATAAGTGCCTCAAAAAAAAGACTTGTAACAAAAATTAAATCTGTGTGTTACGTATCTGCTTGTTTGTTTGTTTCCGGTAGAAATTCTTTCCGAGGGTCTTCTGCGATACAAGTCCTTTGTTGATTAAACCAGTTTATTCTTTCTCGATACAAACTTTTAGTACACAGAAGTTCCACAATCAGTATGTTTCTTATCACTTTAAACTTAACAACTTTTATAATACATGCTATAAATCACAACGATTCACAATCTCGATAGCTTCACTCTCGAGGAGTGCGAAACACACAATTTACGGCTCACTAGCTCGAAACTAACAGAATCTTAAATTACATGGAACTCAAAGTAACTACTGATCTCTCTTCATTTATCCCCACTGGCTTTCCTCTGCCAGGCTTATATACTAACGAAGAGGGCATCTCAAACACACTCGGACTTCCCCGATCATTCGAGAAACTCATCATGCACGCTACCAGTGCCAATGTGCCAGGAGCGTCACGTGACTTCTACTGTCGTAACATGTGGGTGTGGGGGAGATTTTTTTAACTGGATAAAAAAATTGGGCGGAGAGTAGAAAGCAGAGAGTAGTAATAAATGGAGTTAGATCTGACTGGATCACAGTTACAAGCAGTGTGCCTCAAGGCTCTGTGCTGGGTCTTCTGGTGTATGTGATTTATATTAATGATATTGACTCTGGAATGAGTAACAAAAATTATAAGTTTGAAGCTGACATTAAGATTATTGGGGTGGCTAACTGTATCAAAGATGCTGCAGACTTACAGGGAGATTTAGGACATTTGATGCATTTGGCCAATACATAGCAAATGATATTTAACTATCCAAAATGTAGGTTTTAACAATTTAAAAAATGGAAATACATTAAATACTATGGTTGAAGAAAAAGATCATGGTGGTGTGACTGAAAAATCACTTAAGTCATCTAAACAGTGTACTGTAGCTAGCAATAGGGCTAATAGGATTTTTTGTAGTATCTATAGAAATACTGAATACAAGACAAGAGATATTATTGTTTCACTGTATAGATCACTTGGAGTTCTGTGTACAGTTTTGGGCTCCTTTCCTCAAGAAGGACATTGAATTGTTGGAGAAGGTTCAGAGAAGAGCAACTAGGATGATATCTGGGATGGTGGGATTGTCCTATGAGGAGAGACTAAAATCTCTTAATTTGTTTTCTCTGGAGAGGATAAGGGTCAAAGGGGATTTGATTGAGGTGTTTAAGATTCTTAAAGGTATTGATAATATAGATCCATCAAACATTTTAGTGTTTAGCAGTGAAAACAATAGGACAGTGGTTCATAAATTCAAATTTTGGCAGCACACGAGTCATCTGGAGTTTAGACAATATTACTTTTCCAACAGGGTGGTTGGGTTTTGGAATGAGCTTCCTTCAAGGGTGGTGGAAGAAGAAAATTTAACTGAATTCAAGAAAAGGTTGGATGAATACATTAGTAGTAAGGGGTGGTTATAGTTGAGAGCTGAAAGGAACATCCTTGATGGGCTAACAAGCTCCTTTTTATCCCTTTAAAATTTTATGAATCAATAATGTATTTTACTGATAAATTTCACAACTTGTCTCCTACGAATTTGAGAAAATAGTGTATATTTCCCCCAGTCTCCATCAATTTTTGATTTGTGTCTGTTTGGTGATTTTTTAGAAATACTTTTTACAGGGTTTGGGGATGACAAAATTTGATATCTTGAATACCTACCTCCACATTTTCATTAATGTGGATTCATGGATGTCTCTTGAGTATATATTTATTATATATATATGTATATGTATTACCTCTTATCGTTGGGAAGGCCTTGGCCTAAGAGAAAAGCTCCAGGCAATAAATATTGCCTACTATGCTCACTTTAATCAAATTTAATGCCATGCATATAGTATTTCATTTATAAACTTAAAAGTATCATAATAGAGTATGGTCAAGCCTTATGCTTGCTTAACTAAACAAAAGCTGAGATGACTTTTGCTTTCTGTTAATATTTAAGTTCTATAAATATCCTCTTTTAAACAATATTTTCCAAGTTTTAATTTAGTTCTCTGCTAGAGGGAGGTGCTATCATGATGATGAAGCTAGATTTAGAAAGAACATAGAAGTAATTCTAGAATACTTAGAATATTAGTGAATGAAAGATTTTGTTAAATATATAAAAACAAGGCTACATTATAAATATGAGAACCAGTGAATCATTAAATCAGTTTTTAGTTTTTTCAGTGACTGAGAAGTTACTGAAGTAATCGGGTTAGTGTCAGTTATCCCATATATTTAAAACACTAGGAGTACAACTTTGACATCATGAATCTCCATAAGCAGAACCATGAAAATCATGTGTTGATCAAGAGTGGAAACACTGTGAGAAGAGGGAAACACAAGGTAGTAAAGATGACCATCCTTAGGTCCAACAAGAGTACAATCCAAGATGTGACATTCACAAGTGATGATAAAGAATTGATGTAATTCAATACTCAACTGAAAGAGGATAAAGATAAAAGTTTGAAACTAATTATCTAGTGAATCAGGAAAGTGCATACAAACCCTCATAGCAAACAGTTGCACCATACAGCTTGAAGACAAAAATGTACTGAATGCAGTGGGATTTATGAAGCTTACAAAAGGGCTTGTTATGTTGAAAATGGGAAGATACCAGTGGACAGAAACAATATGTACAGTTGGTACTTTCACAGCCTACATTATGAAGCACTCCATCATCTCCACAACCTTCAGCTGAACACTGAGGTGTTAAGAAGGTATTGGAGAGAGTAAAAGAATACCTCTGTTGTTTTGAGTGCTGAGAATCTGTAGAGAATTGGTGTATATCATGTGAACACTGCTGTTAGTGAAAAGGTGGATGAAAGAAACAACATATACAACTACAACAGTATTTTGTTGTAGCATTAATTGAGAGACTTGTCAATATACTTGGTCTTTTATCACAACGTAAGAATAAGAATAGATAAATTCTGGCTGTGATGAAATATTTCACTAAATGGCCAGAGGCATATGCTATTTCTAACCAAAAAGAAGAAACTTTAACAAGGAGACTCATCAGTGTACTTGTTTCTAGGTTTATATGCATATGAAACCACTCAGATCAAGGACAGATCTTTGCAGAAATGTGTCAGATCTTTGGAATCAACATTCCTCCATCCATATCTTATTGGCTTGTCAAGAGATACAACTATATACTGTTAAATCATTTAGGCATTTATTCAAAAGAATATCAGAAAATGTGGGATCAAGATTTTCCACTGCTTATGACTCATCAAACAGCAGTGCTTGAAATTACAGGCAGCTTATAATCATCACCAATATTTGGTAGAGAACTTAAAATGCCATTAGATCTTCTGTACTCACATCCAAATATGTAGACAGACTGCTGAACACCATAGATGTGTTACAAGACATTACTCAGGAAAGACTTATATCAGTTAGTTATAAAATGAAAATCTCTATGATGCTAATAATGATAAGACTGGATTCCATTAAGGTGACATCATATGGCTGAACAATCCCTAACAGGAGAAAAAGTGAACTTCAAAGTTCAAAAGGTGTTGAGAAAGCCATATGTTGTATTTAAAAGAATCAAAGATGTGGTTTATAGAATCCAGAAAGACAGTTAGTTCAAGCTGGAAAATGGCTAGCTGGGTAACTTCAGAGAAAAATTTTCAAGTTGAAAGTCCAGGGTGCCTGTCATGACTACTTCCAGAGGATCATCAAAAATGGAGCCACTAGTGGATTTACTTGATCACTTACCTAGTAGGATCAGCTTCCCAAATAATGATAAAGAACAAATGGTAAACTTATCTGTATACCATGGGCCTTGGAAGAGAAAACTGTAAAGTCTTAGTGAAAGGACAGTTTAGTATACTGTTTTATTTTTGTATTAAGATTGTTCAAGGGACTTTAATCATGGAAGAAGGCAGTGTTATAAGCTAGATTTTCAAAGTTTTAATTTATCTGTTTGATAGAGGGAGCTGCTAACATGATGATAGAAAATTTATAAAAGTAATCCTAGATTACTTAGACTGCTGGTAAGTGTTAATCATAACGAGATTTTATGAAATATCTAGAAACAAGAATACATTATAAATACAATAATTAATGAAGTTTTCAGTTCATTCAGCAGTTAATAAAGTATTCAAATTAGTGTTAGTTATTTCAAATATTCAGTTAATTGATTTGTCCTGAAA